CAGTCACCTCCACAGTGGAGTTCTACATCCACAGAAGGATCAACAAGGTCGGCGAACCTTCTGGACCTCTGCTTTCAACTGGCCAGCATAACAGTCAACCTGAATGTCCACATCACAGCATGCCACATTCCAAGAGCCAAGAATGTGATAGCAGATGCACTATCTTGTCCAACGCAGCCATTCTCAACAGACTGGTTGCTACATCCAGAGATCTTCAAGCAGATCATACAAGCGATGGGAGCACCATTAGTAGACCTCTTCGCCACAAGGGTCAACTGATAACATTCGTCTCACCAATACCAGATCCACGGGCATGGGCAACGGACACGCTAAGCATCTCCTGGCAAGGACTAAACGTTTACGCGTTTCCACCACCAGCTCTAATACTGAGGGTGTTGCGGAAAATCAGTCGGACGAGAGACAACAACTTAGGGCACGCCTTACTGGCCAGCGAGAATATGGTTCCCTATTCTCATACAAGACCTAGGACTGACTCAACTGCCACTACCAGAGTGGACGAATCTACTAGTACATCCTCACACAAAGCAGGCGCACGGCAACCCAGAGGTGTTCCGGCTACGCGTGTGGACTGTATCAAGGCATGCTTGAACAAGAGAGGATATTCCGCCAGGGCAGCGAAAGCAGTCACACTAGCTCTACGCAAGTCTACACGCAACTTGTACGACGACAAGTGGCGACGCTTCAAGACATACGCTCCGAGGACCGGCTTCACAGCCATGAAAGCGACACATCCTCAAGTGGCGGACTACCTTTGTCACCTAGACAAACGAAGCGGTTAAAAGGGTCAACACTCTCAACATACCTACCTTACTGGCCTTACTACGCCCTTTTAATTGGAGGACCAACAACAGAGATTTAAAGCTCCGGCGTGGGACCTCAACGTAGTTCTACGACATCTCACTAGTGACATCTACGAACCATTACAGAGAACATCATTCGAGTTCTTGACGCAGAAGACGCTGTTCTTGATAACCTTAGCAACAGCAGCAAGGATGTCAGAAATACATGCTCTGGACTTCGAGAAGAACACGATTTGATGCAAATCAAAACATCGTGCATATGGGACTGAGATGGGACTTCATAGCAAAGAATCAACTTCCAGGTCATCCAGACAGACAGTTCCACGTCCCAACACTATCATCAGTCCTTGGACCACAGGATATGCAGGTCCTATCCTTGTGCCCAGTGAGAGCATTGAAAGTCTACCTACAACGATCCAGGTCCAGGAGATAGAAATTCAAGCGTCTTTTCGTCTCGATATCGACAGCGACACAGACAGAGGTCTTCCGCACTAAGATATCAAGCTGGATCAGAACTGTCATACTATGGGCCTACAAAGCAGCAGGACTTGATCCTCCAAGAGCCTCCAACCCACATGAAGTTAGAGCTCTGGTATCAACGCCGCTCTACATGGGAATCGCTCTATCAGGACGATAATGGAGGGCTGCTTCTGGAAATGGGACATGGTGTTTGCCAACCACTACCTGAGGGACATCGCCACTGAGGACGGCTCTGACATTCACCATTTCGGCCCACTTGTTGTAGCACAACAATTGACAGTCCCACAAAGGCGCTGAGACAGAGTCTCGCCCTTTTATCACATGACTTACAAAGCCTACACTCAGCAGAGTTCTGCTTAAGTCTCAATGCACGTCTAACGACTAGCATAAGTGATATGACCCAGTACTTGTAGGGATACTTGTACAGAAAAGGGTCGCTTCTCCACTTGGTGCTTGCATCAAGAAATGGAGTCACAAAAATGCACATAAAATGTTAACAGAAGAAAGGACCAAAAGTTAACTATTGTGGTCCCCCCATCAAAAGGCAGCTGGAAGGACAAGGTCGCAGCAGCAGCAGAGATTAGCAGTTACCTACAGTGCCAATACGAAGTTCCCATAGGGGGGGTATGGATGACGTAAATCACTACATCATACATGAAATCCAAAGTAACAGCCTGCCGCCAATCCGTCGGATTCTACAAGCAATAAGCATGAGTCAGGATAAGGAAAAATATGTAATTTTCTGAGTAAAATTGATATTTTATACTTATCCTGACTCATGAGGTAAGCCCTCCCAACCTCCCCACTAGACACTTTGGATTTCCCTGCAAATTCTAGTGTCGGGCTCATAATCAGGAGAGAGTGAAGCATGGGAGAACGGTGGCGACACGGTTTCCTGCCAAAACGGAAATAGAGACAACTCTGGTGAGTAGTGATTTTACGTCTGGTAATACAAGTGTTCCACTAAGTTCGCAAGAGGAAGGAGCCAAGCAATAAGCATGAGTCAGGATAAGTATAAAATATCAATTATACTCAGAAAATTATTTCTTAGTAAGTTTGTGCAAAGGGTTAAAGATTGCCACCAACAAGATTGGTTTTCTAAAGTTTGTGAATCAAACAAGTTATGTTTCTATCAAGAACATAAATCTCTATTGACAGTTGAATATTTTTTATCCACTCTAAAGGATCGCGAATATAGAAGGCTTTTATTTTTGCTAAGATCTGGGGAATTGCCTTTAATGATAAACGTTGGTAGACGTTGTGGTATTGTTCGCAATGAACGATTTTGTAATTTATGTATGAATGGATGTATAGAAGATGAATACCATTTTCTGTTAATATGTAAAGTTTATTCCATTTTAAGACAAAAGTATATTCCTGAAAATGTCTGGAAACATCCCTCTATTGATAAAATTTAACATGTTATTAAGTTGTGACAAAGTGAATATCCTAATTAACCTAGCAAAATTTGTAAAAGAAGCTTTAAGGTTAAGATGTGCTTAAAAGGTGTATCTAATCATTTTGTCACCTTCATTATTATTTTGTGAGTTTTTGTACTTGGGCCTTTGGCCTTTATACAGAATACAAGTTTGAATAGTTGTACTGTTTGTATAGGACTAGTGTTGTACTGTCAGTACAGGAGGAGTGATTTTTATGAAATCATTTCCATTATATTTAAGTTGGTTTGACATAAAGCAGAACATACCTGCTTAGTAAACTTACTCAATGACATAATACAGTGAGACCTCAGTTTTTACGTAAATCGTCCGGATAATTGAATATCCGGATATCTGGATTTTTGGTTTTCATACACCTCAAGGAAAATCCAAAACGTTTATGATCATCAAGCGTTTATTGTACATGTATAGACATTCAAAAACAGCATCACAATCATACCTTTACAATTATTCAGTTTTGAAAAAAGTCTTTCATTGAGGACTGCTTACACTGGGTGCCGCTCCTTTGTCGATCGTCGACTTTCCAATCACATGTCCAAATACTGGTCCAAAATGTTTGCTTATGTTATCAAAGCTTACTTTGGGATTTTGTTCTTTGTAAAGACATATCTCTTTCTTTGCCTTGGCTGTCATTGCGTAGCGCTTGCGTTTAGTAGGTTGACTAGCCATTTGTGATCATTCTCCGTGAATTGCATATCTAAGTGATCATTTCTACTTTGACTTCCCAAACTGCCTTTTTTTTAATTTCTCAAACTTGTATTCACAGATTCCTGGGAGAGACGTGTCAGTCCTCTCGTCATCTGACATATTCTTCTTAGTTTGTATGTGTGTATGCCACCTCTTCACACTGCATGTATGGTAATGTTCTCAGACGAAGATCTTCTAGTTTCATCTTACTTTTATGAAGTCATTCAGTGAATATATTTCTTTCAGATATCTCTATGATACCGAACCTTCCGAAAATTCCAACGTTTGAGTGTATGCCATATAAAGAGAGGTTCAAAAATCGGGTAACATTGCGTTCTCATCAGAGAAGCAAACATGAACTTGCTTATAATTTCAACTGTGAATTGTGTGTCAGGAAGATTTTATCATTCTGCAATTTTATCTTTCCATGTACTTCAAAGTATTCCATGCAATCCCAAACATTTTACATCATTTAACAAAAAATAAAGCTTAACTTGAGGTACAAACACGCATCCGTCTTTGTTATTGTAAGTCTCAAGAAGTCGCCTCCTGTGGACTTGAAACAGAAATCCCTGCCCTAATCAGTGGATTGAGTTTGCACTCGTACACTTTAAAAATGATCACTTATATAATATATGCAATTCACGGAGAATGAACAAAGTTTTTGTAAACTTTTTAAATCACTAAAATATAGTAATGTTGAATGTGACGCTATGAACACTTTATATACAAAACTGAAGAGAAACAGGACCACGGCATGTTGACAAGAAATCCTATTCGGTCGAACGAGGGACCACATTGTGTAGAATTGCAAGCCTGACACTGAGAAGTATGGACATAAGTTTGAAGCTTACTACAATAGGGGGTTTATGCACTACATCCCGATATCAAATTTTCAAGATTAGACTCATAGTGACGAAAAAAATTGTGTACCAAAGCCTATTCGTCTCCCCTCGCCGCCATCTTTGACGATTTGTATGCTGTTTCGGGATGCTATGACTGCCGTGTTGGGATGCTATGAATGCCGTTCTGTACGCTCGGCGACTGTTCTCGCGCGCTCTTGTAGCTGATACGCGAGTTTTGTTTCCATTTCAAACGATTTGTCTTCCATTACAGATGTATTGTTTCGGTTTTAGAGGATATGGTTGCAGTTTTGGTGATTTTGTTCTGTTTTGGTGTATATGAGATCAGTTTTGATGATTTGTTCACCGTTTGTATGGTAGGCCTGGGTAACAGAAAATGAAATACCCACTCAACATTCATGATACCCACTCCAAAACAATACATTGGGTACAGTACCCACATGAGCTAAATCTTATCTGGAGCTCTGAATAAACAGGTGTGTGTGAGGTAATATATAAACACAGGTGTGTGAGAGGTAATATATAAACACAGGTGTGTGAGAGGTAAGATATAAACAGGTGTGTGTGAGGTAAGGCATAAACACAGGGGTGTGACAATCATTGGTTTGCCAATGCTCTACAGGGCACACTGTGACAGAATTGGAATGACCACAGCTTCACCCATCATTCATTGACTTGGGCCTGTGTTTCAGAACTGGAGCAGGCTGCGGAGAGGTACCAGTTACCGAATATTGTCCAGGTGGCGCGGAGGATCCGGAGATTGCCAGGTACTGTACACTCGTGGGCTGAGTATAACAGGTTGATTAGCATGCATTTTAGCTTAAGTTGTAGTCTATAATCTCTCATCAAAGTTTTTGAAGTTTGTTCAGTGGAACATTTGCATGTGACAATAAATCTTGTGAAAGCCATGAAACTCTCACCCAGGAGGTAGATCAGTTGGGTGGATACTTTACTAAGTATTACTAATTGTTTTTGCAGCCACCATGCTGCTGTCTTGGTTCAATCTGGGCCCGGACGTCCAGCTCTTTACCCTCCTGATCCTCATCCTGCTCGCCTCCCTCCTCATCAAGGATCTCCAGAACCCGGTCGGTCTCTTCCACAACTGTGTCTTCCCCATCACCAGCCTATGCAAGGACATCGTCCGCGAGACCCTGTGTTGTCTCCTGCTGGTCATCTGTCGGCCGCTCGTCTGTGTCGGGCAGTGCATTCTGGAAGTTCTCTTGGCATTGTGGGACATCTTTTTCGGAATGATCGTCTCGGTGACGTTGGTGACTTACTACACAGCACTGATTCCCTGCGTTGTGCTAGGTGCTGTGATAGAGTGGACATGTGCTCTTGTCATATTTCTTTCGGAGACTTTTATCGCACTGTTACGCCTCGCGTTTATCATGGCGCTGGTTCTTGTTCCAGGATATTTTGCTCAAACAACGGAAGAACAAAGGAGCGAATATTTTCAAAATTTCGTGACAATCATGCAGACTGTTCGTGACCGATACCAAGTGTACATGACCAGTCTTCAGGACAGATATATCAATGCTGGATAAGTTTGTTGGGGAGTTTTTGAAGCAGGTTTCACTGACAGTTCTGTTATATTTCTTGGTTCATGAAATTCCTCAGGTAGTGTAATTTAAAGCTTATTTTTACATTTTATCTTTTCAAACATGATGCAAAAAATCCATGCTGCTTTTGATCATTTATGGGAGTGAGATGTCATCGGGTTATGTTCATTACTCTCATTACTTTGTATTTTTATCACGTCTTTCTCAGAGGCCAGGTTGTTTTCCTTCCCAAACGGTTGCCTGAAGTTTGTGCCATATTTATCAATCCTGTCATACTGGTGATACAAGTTATTACTGTATTACATGTTTATGGTGTTGGCAGGTGTGGAAACAGAGTTACCTCCCTTTAGTAAAATATCAAATGTGCTCACAGGACCTATAATTGTTCAGTGATTATTTGTCATATTTGTAAAGATATTATTTTCACATTTCATTTTACAACAGAAATATTTTAACTGTGAAGTATCATTTTGATCTTATCTTTTAAGAATGAAATATTTTATCTGCACGAACCAAATATGTTCAAATGATTTTGTTATTCTAGTTTCATGTTTGGGGTTTAGACCTGAAAACCAGTTTAAAGAAAAGCATAACTTCTTTGAGAGGCATTTAGAAGTTGGAGCAGTAAGGAAGGATAACAATATATGGATGAATAAGGAAACTAATACAGAACTTGTTCATACATGTATCTTTCTCTTTCCTTAACGAAAAGCTTATCTTACAATTTGTTAAAGATTTGAAGAGCAGCCAAAGTTTACAAATGTATCAAGTTTGTGAACGATTGTTGTGATGCAGCAAGATTGTTGTCTTGGGCCTGGGTTTTCAGAGCGATCATAGTGTGACAATGTTAAGTCTGTACTGAAGTATAGCATGACATGGAACCTTGGATATTAAATTGGTGGAATAGTAGGTGGCCTTCAGACTTGTTATACTTGTTTTCCTATCCATGAGATCACTTACCTTCTGTGGGGACAAAGAATAGATACATGTGTGTCAGGTAACTAGACCAAGACTTTGTTCCACTTGCGACCTAACTGTTTGACCACTATTGGACACATCTGTCTAAAAGTCCAATTTAAGATTTGGTTGAGAATTAGTAAACAACTAATCGATGTTGTAGCTCCCTAAAAACATCGCAGCTGGCATCCGCATTAAATGGTCATTTTGAGTGAAATATTAAAGAAATATAGCGAGAATGTTCGATCTTTGGGGTCCTTGTTACCTGAAACTAGTGTTTATTTTGCTTGATCTGTGAATATGGTCTACTCTGTGTATTGGTGATGAATGTATGGGTGCACTGGTTCTTGTACGGATGGGGGAGTGGCTGTAAGGTTTTACTTCACTTAAAGGTGTTCTGTACGAGTATCAAGGGGAGAGGTTTGATGTGGCTAGTTTATGTTTTAGCTGATGTATAGGCCTCAAAGAGTTTCATTACTGACCTGAAGCATGCTTTGTCTTTTTCACTGATTTGTCTTTTATGATGATGATGATGATGATGATGATGATGATGATGATGATGATGATGAGCATAGTTTATAATGCACCACAAATCCTCATCCTAACCATGCTCAAAGTACTACATTATTACCCCAGCTCAGTTTTCATTCTCAGTAAGTCACCAATCCGTGGTGATTACACAAACCAAGCTGAGTGAGTGAGTGAGTTGGGTTTTGCGCCACGTTAAGCAATGTTCCACAGAGATGCCAACCACTCCAAGTTTGGCGGAGTTACTCCGATTTTCAAATACGATATCCGCTGTCCGATTTGTCTTTAAAAAACTCAGATTTTTTTCAGAAAGAGTTCTGGAATCTTTATTTACAGTGTACAATTTCGTAAATCAATGGTGATTTATTTGAGTCGACACCAGTAAAAGCATTCACAAGCTTAGCGTGTGATATTTTGGATATCGATTGTGTATATTGGGTGTTATTGATGATGAAGTTTCACAAAGTTTTCCCAAATGTATGTCATAGCCCGTATGTAAGTGAAACAAAATGGCGGAGACGACCACGTGTTCACCCCCAACTCGCCACGTCTGTGCTCCAGCCATGATTCCACTTGCATTAGATACAGGGTTGGCATCTCTGGTTTCAGCAATATCACGGCAGGGGACACCAGGAATGGGCTTCACACATTGTACCCATGTGGGGAATCGTACCCAGACCTTCAGCCTGAGGGATGGGCTTCACACATTGTACCCATGTGGGGAATCGTACCCAGACCTTCAGCCTGAGGGATGGGCTTCATTGTACCCATTGTACCCAGCCTGAGGGTGGGAATGTAATGTGGGGTATCGTACCCAGACCTTCAGCCTGAGGGATGGGCTTCACACATTGTACCCATGTGGGGAATCGTACCCAGACCTTCAGCCTGAGGGATGGGCTTCACACATTGTACCCATGTGGGGAATCGTACCCAGACCTTCAGCCTGAGGGATGGGCTGGGGTGGAATGACTGAGTTGATATGTTGTATAAGAAAAGTCAAGTTTAGTTAAACTATGCAATGTTGTAAATTTTAGAATGAAGTTGTGAATGTCAGTGCCACGCCTCATCTGCAGTAACATCTGGGAGTTATTCTTCATGTGTTAATCAAACAATGAAATTGTCTATCATCATTCAGGATAAAACCAGAGATTGTATGATGACGTCCATCACTTTGATCTTACCTCACCAGTCCAGCTGATACACTGTTGCCAATCTCACTTCTCTTATTTCATGCTTCACATATTCTTTTATACATGTTCTCTACATGTCTACTAGTTAGGAATTTTAATGCAAAAAGTCAACTATTATAGGAACAGTGAAAGAGAGATATTTTTACTTTTTAATTATTTCATGTTGTGAAAAAGGTCCTGTTTTACATTTCTATTTTTCATTTGGATTTTACATTCAGCAAATTTATTTTAATATACTGCCTAATCTCGCTCTCTTTTACATCGGTGAAGATCCAGGTTAGATTGGTCTCCAGCAAACCCATGCTTGTCGTAAGAGGCGATTAATGGGATCAGGTGGTCATGCTCCCTTTCTTGGTTGTACATGTCATTGTATCCGATGCTCATTCTGTTGATCACTGGATTGTCTGGTCTAACCTATACTGCTATCAAATTGACATTGATTTGTGAGTGGAGTGGTGGTTGAGTGGAATAGTGTCTGCTTCTCATGCCATGTGAGTGAGTGTGTTTTGTTTTATGCCACTTTTAGCAATATATACCCGACGGTTACACCAGATATGGACATCACACTTGGGTATTTGGCATGATGGCACCACTAGGCTACCCCAGCGCCCCTCTCATGCCATGTTGTGAATGAATACTGAATACTGCTAACTCACAAGACATGTCTGAACCATGAGAATGTAGTCACATGTTACATACTGGGTCCTTATACATGCAGTTGTAGTTGGGTATTCAGTATAGTAATACCTTCGGTCAAATCCTTTGTGTTTTTATGAAGCAATAATTAACAATATTAATAATAATTATGCATAACTTGTTGTTTCAGGTGATAATTAATGCATTATACACAGCAGCTAAAGCCATGTAAGGGATGACTGTCGATAAGCAAATAATGATCAATCAAAAAAATATTGACATATGAACAGGAAAGATTGTACTTTCACACCGTGGTGTATTTGAGTTAACTAACATCATGTTGTATGACATTGTTTGTTCAAGAAAATATTTTTAAGATATACGATAACCAACATTGTCAGCCACCGACCCACTGTTTTAATGATATTACCACTATGTCCAATGGTTGCCTGCTTCCTAGTGTTGGGAATCGGAAACCAAATATTGATTGTGGTGAACGATTATCGATTATAATCGAAATATATACATTTTTAATGTAATCACAAATTATAAGTTTTTTTCCCCAGTTTTTTTCTAATTAATGTTTTTTTTTAATAATTAATGCTGTCATGCAATGAAATATACGCATGCAAGAAAGACAGTGGAATTGTAATTAATTATACAATAAAAGTGGTTAAAATTTTACAATGTGCATGGCTTTACGCCAGTCTAAGTAAACTTATACTCAGTATTATTCTTTACACTGCTATACTGTATACTTAGACTGAGCTTTACACTGTTGAGAGCATGTTTGTTCGTGAATATTCATCAAATTTGATGGTTAGTTTACTTCATTCAAGGGTGTTATACATAAACAACAAAATTCTGATTAATCGAAAATATGTCTTTTACGTTTGATAATCATTTTTAATCCTTCTTTTGATCGATTTTCGATTATTTTCGATCATCGGAACATCACTACTGCTTCCTGTAAGTTTTGTTGTTGATTGAGATGTTGATCCCAGTGAAACACTTGAACTTAGGCCAGACATCTGAACACTTGAACTTAGGCCAGACATCTGAACACTTGAACTTAGGCCAGACATCTGGCTGAAGACTTGAAATTAGGCCAGACATCTGAAGACTTGACTTACCAATCTGATGACTCCTTAAATGAAAATGTGATAATTAAAGAAATGAAAAACATGTTTTTTTCTAGTTTGCTGACCAGAAATAATTTAAATAGTTAATGACAGTATTTACTCTTGGTATAATTCATCATTAAAAATACTGAAAGTGAATCCTGTGATTAAACACAGCAAATTATGATGAATTGTGAGAGGAAATTAAAAACAAAATATTTCATCCAAGTTTGTACCACTACTTCTGAAGATGTGGAGACACTTAGATACCATACATTGCAACATGATCTTATGATATGATTGTTACTGCATCTTTTGTTCTGACCCATTAAATATCAGACAAATGTTGCTTTTTTCTATTGGCTTTGTTTTTGCAAGCATTCCAGGTTTGTTGTGGTTTTCCTGAGTGTTTGTGTGGTTTATACTAGGTTTTCAGATCTCCATTTGTGAAGTCATGTGTGATTAAACAAATCACATTGTCATTACTGTATTGTTTTTCAATCAGAGTTTGTTGTCAACATACTTTATGATATTTTATGATGGTTTTATATAATTTGTGTTTGTGTTGGTGCATGTTTAAATTGGTACTGATTTAACTATTGCACGATACTTTATTGTTGACAGGAAAACACTCTGACTGTATATAAATCTGGACACCATGGGTATTGATCTGTACTGCTCTATGTATCCATGGTGCTCCTGTGTGGGGATGGGCACAGGTAGCCCGGATGCTGTCCATCCTTGTAACGTCTGATCAAGTCCTATTTCACCCTGATAATGTTTCTAGGTTATTTTTCACCATAATTACATGAGCTCATGGGTTTCACCAAAACCTGAGACCAGCATCACCTCAGGCTTTCCAAACTTTTTAGCTGACATGCTAGATATAACTTATATATTTATCAAAGCTCTGTTAAACTCACCCAGTCTTAGGATAAATGCATTGTTTCACTCATCTTTAGCTCGACATAGGTGTATTGTTCCAAATGTGTGTGTCTTGTGCCGTTGTACAAAACAACCTTAGCTACCTTAGACTACCTTAAGTCTGTGTTAAGGAATGGGAGTTACGATCACCTTAGAGCTAAGACTACCGTTAGTCTATGTTAAGGTATGGGAGTTATGATCACCTTGGAGCTAAGACTACCGTAAGTCTATGTTTAAGGTATACCGGAAGTCTATGTTAAGGTATGGAGTTATGATCACCTTAAGCTAAGACTACCGTAAGTCTATGTTAAGGTATGGAGAGTTATGATCACCTATGGGAGTTATGGTCACCTAAGACTACCGTGAAGTCTATGTTTAAGGTATGCTAAGACTACCGTAAGTCTATGTTAAGGTATGGGATCACCTTAGCTAAGACTACCGTGAAGTCTATGTTAAGGTATGGGAGTTTATGATCACCGTAAGCTGGGAGCCACTAAGACTACCGTAAGTCGTTAAGGTATGGGAAGTCACCTTATGTTAAAGTTAAGGTATGGGAGTTATGATCACCTTAGCTAAGACTACCGTAAGTCAATGTTAAGGTATGGGAGTTTATGATCACCATGTTAAGGTATGGGAGGCTCACAAGACTGCCAAGAAGTATGTTAAGGTATGGGAGTTATGGTCACCTTAGCTAAGACTAAGACTACCGTAAAGTCAAGTCTATGTTAAGGTATGGGAGTTATGATCACCTTAGCCAAGACTACCGTAAGTCTATGTTAAGGTATGGAGTTATGATCACCTTATGAAGCTAAGACTACCGTAAGTCTATATGTTAAGGTATGGGAGTTATGATCACCTTAGCACTAAGCTACCGTAAGTAATGACTATGTTAGGTATGGGAGTTATGATCACCTTAGCACTAAGAGTCAGTCTATGTTATGGGAGGAGTAGTTAAGGTATGGGAGTTATGGATCACCTTAGCTAAGACTACCGTAAGTCTATGTTAAGGTATGGGAGTTATGGTCACCTTAGCTAAGACTACCGTAAGTCTATGTTAAGGTATGGGAGAGTTATAAGACTACCGTAAGTCTATGTTAAGGTATGGGAGTTATGGTCACCTTAGCGCTAAGACTACCGTAAGTCTATGTTAAGGTATGGGAGTTATGGTCACCTTAGCGCTAAGACTACCGTAAGTCTATGTTAAGGTATGGGAGTTATGGTCACCTTAGCGCTAAGACCTTAAGTCTATGTTAAGGTATGGGAGTTATGGTCACCTTAGCGCTAAGACTACCGTAAGTCTATGTTAAGGTATGGGAGTTACGGTCACCTTAGCGCTAAGACTACCGTAAGTCTATGTTAAGGTATGGGAGTTATGGTCACCTTAACGCTAAGATTGCTTTGTACAATGGTATCCTGGACTTGTCCACTCTAAATCCCTTTACAGTATACTCTCTATATATTATAGAATTAGAACAATGGTACACAAACGTAATGCGATCAATGTTCATTGTCCTATTTCAAATGTCTTGAAATTTCTGAAATTTAAATGAGAAAACTCAAAATGCATTATGCAAGCATTTCTGATAGACTTCTACTATTTAGCTTATCACGTGTCATGTGTTCTAGCAGTATCAGTGGTCAGTGTCAGTTTGATTCACTCTTGAAATTACCTTTGTAGAGACTTCTCATTTATAACAAAGCTGTTGTCTCCAATGAGTGATGTCCTTGCATGTGGATGTTCGAGCGTTTGTAATTATATTATTATGATTGTATACGTGATAACTGATGAGTTCAAAGACGAGATTGTGGTCAAGGTCATTAAACCGGAAATAGTTAAAACAGTCGTATTGTGATAGCTGGAGGCGTCGGGCTTTGGAAGCATTTTCTGTTTGCAATACAGTGTTAGTTACAAAACAGAAGTGATATTTTTAAGCTGGAAGTCTTTTTATCTTTGTTTTATTGTGGAAGCTTGAGGCATAAGACCTTCTGCTTCAAAGATGGATTGCATTTGGCATATGACAGGGCGAGAACCATCTAATGTGGAATGGTTCATGATACATGTATAATCATAAGGGACACGTCAGCTGTGTCAGCGTGTTTTCGGGTCATCATATACACCGGATATGACGTCATGGCCGATTGGTGACGTCACGTTCAGGTATTTTCGACAATGTGATGATATGACCAAATACTGGTCACTTCTCAGCCACTGCAATCACTGGAACCTTGCTAGAACGTGCCAGCCGACAGCTGAATGAGAATTACAAACACTAATTCTTTCGATGTGATGCTCACGCAAGGATGTTGTTGCCAAGAATGGGTGCAACCGTTTCACGATGAAGGGGTTCATTCTCTGATTATGGGTGAAAGCGCAATAGGCATATGAATGCAACAGAAAGTGTTTGAAAACATCACAAAATGCTAGTTATCAGCTTGTAGTATCTGTAAACCTGAATTATGACATTTCCCATGATTATCCCTGTTTGTATTGGTGCCTTGGACTTGGAGAACTGCATCACTCGAACCTTTATGTTCTGCGTGAAACTATACCAGAACAACTACCACCACGTGGTAATCTAAGAGTGTCATGTAAGCTGTCAACGCTCCAATCCATTCTCCTTCCTCCATGATGCTAAGGACGAAGCAGTGGCTCTTACTTTGTGTGCGGTAGGGATCCATAAACCATAATGAAAGCAGTCTTCCATGAAAGATGTGACAAGGATGCTTTCACCACAGGTTTAAAAAGATGTAATAACCCTGATGATACTACTGATAAACCCCATGTCGTGGGTATGCGTTGTCCTGTGTGGTTCAGCAAGTAGGCTTGTATTACAGCTGTATTCAACCTGCCCAAGATGTAGGTGCTTACAGCATTAATGTTGCGTTCTTATTCCAGTGTATTGTATTGGTAAATGTCAAAACACAGCACTGCATACGTTCTCCAACGTTCTCAGGCTACAAGTATAATCCTTGACAATCAGTGTGACGTCATGCTCCCTGCTCGTAATCCAACCAGTGTGACGTCATGCTCCCTGCTCGTAATACTCTCCAATGTCCCAGCAGACAGATACACCATAGTGCCTGTTATTGGAGACATAGCCAGAGGTCTGTCAAAGACGATCTCTTGGGGGGCGGTACTGACAGTATTATGAAGTATAACTTTGTCTTCGTCTACTGGTTCTGTTACAGACTGTTTTCATATTTTGTTCATGTTTACTTACACAATAAAGGTTGAAAACTGCGACGGTATGAAACTAAATGTTTCAGTTGTTTTTCTACCCTAATTGGTAGATGGATAGTTGGGGTTAGAGCAAGCAACCTATCCTTGTCGTAAGAGTGAGTGAGTGAAGTTTTACGCCGCTTTTAGCAATATTTAAGCAGGGGACGTCAGGGTCTCTCACGTGTCGAATCCAATCCGGAACGTTTGTCTCGAATTGTCTGACCCCTACTCAAAAATTCATGGGACCACTGCTTTGTAGCTGAAATATCACTGAAGGTTGCGTTTAACAACAGGACAAAAGACCAATCTGAACACGCAAGGCAGCACAGGAAAATATTTGCTTGAGAATGTTTGATATTTGGTGCGTTGATTAACATATTGTTAAGACTTACAGCCCCTTGTCATAGCCGATCTGCGCTTAGCTTAGAGGTTCTCTTATCATGTACATTATATTCCTGTCTGATTAAAAAAAATGGTTCAAATGGTTGAATTCTATTTCTGGTGTCCGCCGCGATGTTGCGAGAAGTTCACTAAAAGCAGCATTAAACCCATCTCACTCACTCACTCTTCCCACATGGACTCAACACGCCATAACTGAAATAATTAAATCCGACTCTCTCATTCTGAAAGCAAAGTGAGTAAAACAATAAAACTCTCATTAGGAAAAATATATAATTTATTCAAACTGAAACAATTCAATACATATTTGAAATAAATATTTCCGTTTCTAGAAGTTGATGGTTATGTCGGCTCGCTCAGGTTTGTAAAACCTAGGTTTTGGCCAAACACAAGAAACATCTGTCTTAATTTGCATAAACCTCACTCGTATATGTAAGTATGCAGGTGCTGTAGTGCTAGATATCACTTATATCTGTGACTGTAGTGCAGGATATGCTACATCTGTCTGACTGTAGTGCTACAGATATCACTTACATCTGCCTGGCTGTAGTGCTACAGATATCACTTACATCTGTCTGGCTGTAGTGCTACAGATATCACTTACATCTGTCTGACTGTAGTGCTACAGATATCACTTACATCTGTCTGACTGTAGTGCTACAGATATCACTTACATCTGTCTGGCTGTCGTGCTACAGATATCACATCTGTCTGGCTGTAGTGCTACAGATATCACTTACATCTGTCTGGCTGTCGTGCTACAGATATCCCTTACATCTGTCTGGCTGCAGTGCTACAGATATCACTTACATCTGTCTGGCTGTGGTGCTACAGATATCACTTACATCTGCCTGGCTGTCGTGCTACAGATATCACTTACATCTGTCTGGCTGTCGTGCTACAGATATCACTTACACCTGTCTGGCTGTAGTGCTACAGATATCACAGATCTGACTGTCAGATATCACTTTACACCCGTCAGGCTGTAGTGCTACAAATATCACTTTTACATCTGTCTGGCTGTAGTGCTACAGATATCACTTTACATCTGTCTGGCTGTAGTGCTACAGATATCACTTGCATCTGTCTGGCTGTAGTGCTACAGATCTTACATCTGTCTGGCTGTCGTGCTACAGATATCACTTACATCTGTCTGGCTGTCGTGCTACAGATATCACTTACACCTGTCAGGCTGTAGTGCTACAGATATCACTTACATCTGTCTGGCTGTAGTGCTACAGATATCACTTACATCTGTCTGGCTGTCGAGGAACACTTTCACCTGACAACAGGTATTTGCAATTTTCGAAAAGGAAAAAAAAACGATTCTTGGTTTTCCGAACTGTCCGGTCTAGGGAAAGGGGATTATAATTTAGATTAGATTATTCACTAGGTTAGAGGTCAGCAAGAGAAAACCTGTTTCTTGTGTACCATATTAGTTGGTCTGTTGTTAAACGCCGCACTGAGCAATATTCCAGCTTTATGAAGGCGGTTCATAATAATCGAGTCTAGACCAGACAATCCAGTGATCAACAGCATGAGAAACCGACAGACTGTTACTTTGTGCGCGCGTGTAGCGTTATGATCCACCGGTTATGGCATGGCGAAACGAGGAGCAAAAACAAACTTCTTTCATAAACAGGGATATCAAAATTTATAATAAACCAATAGTTGGGGTAATTTACTTCACCGACCCTACATGTAAACTTTAGGATAAGAAAATATACAATGTACTGATGAAATCTTCTGTAAGCTTAGAGTGAGTGGAAATTGAGGCATATGTTTACAGCTTATAGACTTCAAAACAGTAACGTACCTGAGCAGGTATTCGAAAGCAGGTGTATCGTGACAAAGAAACCCTTCACCAACTTGCCCACTCAAGCACTACATCATGAGAGAAATGTTCAATCAATACAATTTTTAGCAAACTTAAGCAAAGTTAGCGAGTATCATAATGTTGCATAGGATGGCTGGTGATTACTTCTATATGAATATGGTTAAATAATTAATAAAATGGAATGCAACGTTAACGTCTAATTAACGGGGAGAGGCTTCAGCTCAGTGAATAACTATGTTGACCCACTTTAAGCTGAATAACGTGTTTGAATGAATCCATTGTTCACATATAGCTGAATATAAGTCATATCCTTTACAGAGTACACATACCTTATCGTCTAGACACAGACGCTGTCTCGTGTAACATGGGCCTGTCTCTGTGCCTGAAGAACAGTCATCGAGTGATCAGTTCTAGATCTAGCTAATCTCAAACCAAGGCATGAATAATTTTGCTATGTTTCACGTCACATGTTTTTATCTTCGCGTAATAACCGGTAGTTCAGACACTGGTTGTTTGGGCTGAAAAGGAATTCCATGATATTGTATTTAGTTCCCAAGATATTTCAGTTCTTCTGGTCGAAGAGTATAAATGTCAATGTCAAAGAGGCATCGCTCGACGCCTTCAGTGCTGGAACTGCCAAGATGTCAAATGAACCCATGGGTTGAATGAAACTGGTGGCGAACATATTCACTGAACAGTGAACACTCCTACCTTTCCATTCTCATTACAAACAAACACCGATCCTTTAGGCCCAATGGCCACACATTTAGGGTCCTTAAGTCCTTCAGTCTTGTGCAGCAGATACCGTATGTTCCCTGTATAGTCAACAAGCACGAGGGCCGGCTTGCTGTCAGCTACAAAGATGTAACCTCTACCATCATCTGCCATGCCCATCGGCTTCTTAATGGTCTGGCCAAACGGAGGCTGACACATGTGTAGCAGGTGACCGCTCAACCGCAGACAGGCCACCTTCGACACGGTACAGTCGGAGACCATGATGTCCCCACTGGCAACGGTGCACATGTAGAGGGGGTTTGCGAAAAGAGCTGTTCCGTTGTGAATACACTTGAGAATATTCCCTTCTAAGTCCATGATATTGATGACTATCGGTCCTGTTCCTGGGCAGGTGCTGACGGCGAATGCGTCTGTGCCTACTTGGGTGATTCCCCAGTATTTCAGCTCGGTCTTTAGAATGGTCTGTAGTATGAGGTTGGGTGAGACGGACACGATGGCAACTTGCTTGGCAGCAGGAACAGTGATTGCCACCATGTTGCCAACATAATTACAGACACCGTGTGGCTTCTTCTCCAGAACCAGCTTGCTATGCATATCCTTCTTGCCATGGGTGTAGAAGGACTTGACACAGAAATTCTCCCCGTCAGTGACAACCAAAACTCCACCGGCTACAGAAACAGCATCACGTAAGCTTGGTTGATTCTTATCCCCTTTAACTTTGGCAGAGATGATCCTTTCCAGCTTCAAGTTCCGCCCTCCGGTAACGAGTGGTTCAAAAGGGGAGACGTTTCCGATTTGAACTGGCGTCTGGGGGGACGTGGGGGTGGCAGGGGAAGCCGGTGCCCCTGGGGAGGGAGGTGGTGTGGCGATCGGCAACAACATCAACTGTCTGGCTAGTGACTCGCGTTTCAGGCTTCCCAGTGGTAACGCCTTCCAGGGATTCGCCTGATACTGCAGACTCCGCATCTGAATGTCACAGGAAGTCTTCTGCTTGTATGAGGAGAGTTTAATGCAGTACTGTTCTAGAGCACTGTACTGGTCAATAACCCGATGGAGGTCCTCTCCATGGAGCAGCTCATGAGATGCATCTTTCAGACGATTGAGAAACTGATTCTGTCTGGTGTGTTCACGTAGTTCTGCATTCAGCTCGTGGTCAAACCTGCTGTAAGCAAGGTCAAGGTCATTCAACGCTTGGGCTTCTTCTTCCTTGATCTTCTGCACGATCTGTGCCACGTGCTCCACGATCTTCCTCTTCTCCGTACAGTACTGTTTCTCCAGCTTATCCCGTTCCTTCATCTGCTCGACCTTCTTGGCCTCAGACCGGTCCATATGGGAAGAGAATGAGTGATGAAACATCTTAATCCTGGACCTCTTCTCAGCAACAGCCTCCTCCAAGGTAATCACTTGAAGACACGTCCTGTGGAGGGTTGGAGCACAGGACGAGCAGATCATCACATCACAGTCAACACACAGAAAATCCAAAGGTTTGCCGGGGTGTTTGTAGCAGAACCTAGCTTGTACGGAGGGAATAGAGTCGGTGCCACTGGACACAAGGCCAAGAAGGTTCTTGATCAGAAAGTTGTCTTTGAAGCCATTGGCCCATTTATCAATTGATTCATTTGGATTTGGAATTTCAATATTTTCCCTACATGTTGGGCAGTTGAAGCGAGGGTTTAGTCTGGAACAAACACTCTGGATGTAGTCGGACAGACATTGTCTACAGAAGGTGTGGACGCAGGGGAGGAACTTGGGGTCCTTGAACTGGTCGAAGCAGACACCACATTCCAGGAATCCTCGACTGAAGGAATCATGCTGGCTTAGAGCCAGGGACCCTGAAACAGATAAAAGAGGTGTCAGTGTATTGCTCTCTAACATTAAAGTAGATCATGCTCATGCTGTTGATCACTGAATTGTCTGGCCCAGACTCGATTATTACAGACCGCCGCCATATATAGCTAGAATATTGCTGAGTGCGGCGTAAAACTAAACTCACGCACTATACCATCAAAACGTATAATTAATGTGGCAATTCCTGGTCTCTACTGTTTCTGCCTTGTTGCAACAATCCACGCCGTCTGGCTAAGATGACATCCAACCAACGAGGTCTCCGATCCTACGTTTCTTATATTTTGAAAATTTCCTTTCAATATTATTCTGCTACTTCTTTAAACAAGCGTCCCTAAACAAAGTGGCATAAACGTCGGAAGTTAGTACAAGTTACACAGCAAGACAACATCTGGGACCCATACCACTTTTTCTATTATGTGAAACCCGTGAAGGTCCGGGTTAGAATGAACCTTCAGTAACCCATGCTCGTCGTAAGAGGCGACGGGATCGGGTGGTCAGGCTCGCTGGCTTGGTTGACACATGTCATCGGTTCCCAGTTGCGCAGATCGATGCTCAAGCTGTTGATCACTGGATTGTCTGGTCCAGACTAGATTATTTACAGACCGCCACCATATAGCTGGAATATTGTTGTGTGCGGCGTAAAACTCAACTCATTCACCCACTCATGTGAAACTGACACGCTGTTATGACCCTCACATCACATCCGTCCCTCACTCACCCACTGAGGGGCACTCACTCACTCGACCATAGATACATTAGTCACTCACTCACTCACTCATAAATACATAAGTAGCTCAACAAATACACAACAAGAACAAGCCCACAAAACTACAACAATAAAACAACAACAACAAATAAACACAACAAATTGTAGGAGGCCACAGGGTAGATGATATACGATTGATATACGACTGAAGAATAAAACATATCTGCAAGGAAATATGAATATAGTGATGGGTTGGGTCCAACACCGGCAGTGACGTAACAGTTCATGACTACATCCGGTATTTGCATCGCATGACTGACGCTATGCAGAAATATAGAGGTATTGTCTCGCTTCGCTTTCGTTTTGAGATTCCTTCCGCGATTTGTGCCATTGAACACCCTCAGGTTTCCCCGAGCTAGTTCTGTCTCCACGCATATGATTCTCTGCGTGCTGTCAGCTGACGAGTGCTGGCCAATCAGTTACACGTATGTTTCCGGTGTTCACCTGGGTCAATTGTAACTACTCGCCTCTTTCCGTGACCTACAAGACGGCTTGCCGGAATGACACGAGTAGTTACGAATGCACCTGGGTATCTGAGTGGGTTATTATTCAGGGAAAATACTCAGTGAATTAGATGAAAACTGACGACATGTTTCTGAACTAACAACTTACTGAGGCTTTGCAAATAGCGCAAAGCAAACGCCCATCAATCGTGCTGTATCAAACGCGCCTGAACATCTCTTAATGAATCAAACAAACACCATACTATAGCAAGTAGACGCCTGTCCAGAATAAGCAGGTAGACAGGTTGATGCAATAAAACTATTCGTATTTTTCTGCTTCCCCTCTCCCACCCAATTTTCATCCCGACTTGAAATAATATAAAGTTTTTCTTATTTAAATTTTCCCAGTCTCTGTGGAGTGAGTTTGGTTTTACGCCGCTTTTAGCAATATTCCAGCAACACCACTACCCTCCACTGTGGAAACGTATGCCCTACTGTGAGTGAAAATAAATACCCTTAACTTTGAACCTTTAGATAGAATCTGACCAGCTTGGTCCTTCTTCTTCAACATGTTACACAATTAGTGAAACAATATTTGTTTTCATTTTCTTCATTATGTTTTCTCAAGTCCACCCTCTTGCAGATAAAGGTTATGAGATGAGATACACATTAAAAAGAACGGATGTCCTCACTCAGTGATAACCTTGAAAACATATAACCTCTCGCAGGTACAACACGCGAAACAGTGGATAAAGCGACCACTGAAACTACACAAACATAGCTTCAGTTTATAGCATCCGTAAAATGAAAATACGAGGGAGGAGGGGGCGCACACACCCTGCACACACACACGTCCGTCCACCCCACCCCCACCCTTGATCCGCCTATGATACGCCTGTCGCCCACAAAGGACAGGTGGTGGAGCAGCGTTTGCTCGTCATGTCAAATGCCTGGGTTCGATTCCCCTCATGGGTGTAACTTGTAAATCCGTGTTTCATGTTCCCCTCGGTGATATTGTTGCCGTATTCATCAAAGGTCCGATGCAAGGTTTTGGAAGAAGTTCCGTAAACATAGAGTAGCATTACACCCCACAACGTGAGAGCGCCACAAATAGCCAGGATCGTTTACATACCCAGTATGTTCCGCTGATCGTAACAACAAATCCTCCTCTTTATGACCCAAGAAGACAACGTTATGGGTTTTTTGTGTAACGCCACGATCTGCAAATTCACAGATATTTGAAGGCGATTTGTAAGTAATCAGTTCTGGACCATACAATCAAGTGATTGTGACCACAGTGCCACGCCATCGGGGTGACATGAAAAATAAGGTGTGTGAAAGAAGCACCGTGTGCTTTAGTAATTAATCGTCAATAGGTCTCGTTGTATATCACCCATGAGACATTATGCAAACGTATACATGTTCAATAAGCTTTCCGCGTCACACACACACCCCTACACACACACGCGCACACACACATCCACCGCTTAAATTCATTATGTTTCTAAGTCTGTCAGTACGACACCACATCGGGTACCACCGCATCGAGCGTCACCCTCACTCTCTGCTCCCCAACACACTAACACGTAACGAATCCTTGAAAGGAACTGTCAAGATGTTACAAAGCGATGATATAGCAACGTAGCCGTGTCGTGCAGTGACAAGCTTTGGTCAGTTTGTGTTTGTTATTGTAAGGGCGACAACTCGAAGCTGTCCATTTAGGGATTCCATACCCAAACTCACGAAACGAAAACCGAAGGGATATTGTTGACAAACTTACTCCAAATGTCTGTGAAGAGCGCGTCCTGAACACCCGTATTGTCGTGAGGGTATTGAGACGGGTGTCAGATTGTACTGTGTGTCACTGTAAGGATTTAGGTCACACTTCGCTGTCCAACATGTACGTTCCTGTAATACCATATATGAACATAGTTATATACATGGCATTCCTGTACGTAATCTGAAGTTTAAGGAATTGAAAACACCACGTACCTTCGACGTTCCTGTCGACCATGTTACCTGTACAGCATTCACACCCGTCCTAGGCCTTGGCTGTGTGGTGAGAAGACATGCCGCATGGATGATCAGAAAGTACGAACCAGGATGTCCGCTATGGAAAAACACTTAACCACAGGCTTGTGTTTCATACAGACGATCGCGATTGTGAAATCGCGGAAAAACCAGTCCTGTGTTCAGGGACCGTGACGGGTTGTTCCGTGTCACTGAGCTCTGGTACGTACCTCTAAATGTGTTGCTGTTATGCGTTGAGGGATTTTGTGACACTGAGACTATATTTAGCTGGGTCATGTGGGGTTTCCAGTGCGTAGTTACCGTCTACTGAGTTAATATGACAACAGGGAGAAATGTACCCAATGTATTCGCTAAATGAAAGGACGATCCATCCATCCGATACAGTCAGTGTTTGCTCGCTCTCAGCAATATTTGATGTTGATGGCGATCTGTAAATAATTGTGTCCGTAACCAATCTAATGACGGACATCATCAGTCCTGACCCCCAACAACCCCCCCCACCCCCGCACCTTACCCCCAATTCTTTCATTTCGGAGTCCCTAATACAGATAGGACCAGGCAATCAGGGTACTGCTAGACCTACATCAAATGAGAAGAAGTTAGAAAGATAATTTTAGAATAGACAGGTTATGCAACGACTTCCAAAAGCTATTGTTGTAATTCTGTTAGTATGGTTCTAATTACGGGGTCTTGCCGATTTAACTTTAACGGTACAAGGAAGTTAAATATCAACAGTGGGGGCTCATTGGGGGTTGGGGGGCGTACGTCGGCCGTTGTCGCTGGTATAAAAGTCATAGCGGATGGAGGCATGTCATCAGCATACACAACGCTTAGGCTGTACTGGATATCAAACTCGCGCAAAATTTTGAAAACCAACGTGCCAAAGTCAAGGATGACAACCAGACCTCTCTAGCCGTAATTGCCCATTTATAGATCAAGGTCATCGAAACATTTGATGGTCCACAAGGAACCTCGATTTGAACCCCACAGAACATATCGTTGGGACTATCTTGGACGCTAAGTTCGAGTAAGAGATCCTAGTGTTCAAAATCTGCGGGAATCTATACATGTACAGGCATAGACAATCCATGAGGAATGGCGAGGGATTCCGTTGCAGAGAATGAGGAGCAGACTGGCCGATGTTATTGGTCCTAGGTGTGGTTACAGCAGGTACTGGTGTGGTCGCTAGAGGTGGTTCATACAATCACAACAGTCCTTATTATGAAACAAAATTATTTCTGTATCAGTTAACTCCTAATGATGAAGGAGCAAGCATACACTCCGAAACGTTGTGTTATTCACAATAAAGAAGTTGACATCCTTAAATCTTGCTTTTCTTTTCCTATTAACTCCTGACTCCAGAAAACAATGACTGCAGCGTAATTATATGTATCCACCAATCTCAGAGTTATATAGTTCTGCTGCAATGACTGATATATGCGCATGGAGCTAGAACACATTGGAGATAGTACAAGCAGGGATCCAGAAAGCACCAGCAGTACGGATCATGGCCGAATCCTTGGAGGCGTTAGTATAAATCTGCATATCGTTCCCGTATAGAATCCTCAGATATTGCTCTCACCACGTTTGGATTCATCACTGGCCCTCATCTCTGGAACAATCTTCCATCTCACCTCAGAACACAACCAGATTTAGCTGTTTTTAAATCAAATCTGAAGACGTGGCTCTTTCATTTGAACTCTATGTGATATCTAGAATCTTAGAGCCAGAGCGCCTTTGAGCGGATTACGGATATTGCGCTATACAAGTATTTGTATGTATGTATGGTATGTGTAATGTCCTTCTCAACAACGGAACTCAGTTCAGGGTACAATCCTGGCTTAAGGAGGTATTTTAGAAGGTGTAGATGGATCCCAATTCCTGAATGTTTAAAGCAAAGGGGATATTGGCGTGAAACCAGTCACACGTGACATTAAATATATCCGCGACTGAATGATAGCTCACCATAGTCTTCTTTTCATGAAGTAATTATGGGAGATTGGTGTCTAAGGATCATGTCAGAACACTCAACCTGAAGAGCTGACACTGGAGTATGATTACACATTGCCGTTTAGAAAGTGATCAAATGTAACATATATATATATATATATTACACTTTGGGTTGAGTCCCATCCGGGATTCGAACCCGCGCCCTCAGAGTCAGGGACCTAATCGCCAGCACACAATGTCAACCGCCTAACCCGCTCAGCCACCGGGACTTCCACAAAAATGGCAGTCGGACAACTGGTAGTCTAGACTGCGGACTTTGTGTACCCCTCTGATAAGCGTTAATTGGCACGGCTCCACGGCCGAAAGCTATGATTACACAATGCCATTTAGAAAGTGGTCAAATGTAACATATGCTATATTTTTGGGATTACACTTTCTCAGTAAAGTACAGATTCTAGTACTGTGTTGGGTTGAGTGCCATCCGGGATTCGGAACCCGTTATTGGGTTGAGTCCAGTTGAGGCTGGAGCAGTTACAACAGCTTCAGTGCAAATTCCAGGATCCAGATTGAACGCGATCAAGTTTGGAGAGGCGACTTAAAGACGCAGACATGTACACTTGGCAGCTATGGCCGATTCTCGATAGGATATGTGCTTTATACAGCAAGAGCATGGTAGATTTACCAGCTCCCTTTTGAGGTTTGGACAAACATTACAATAGATTAATGGCACTGTTACAGCGGGCCGCAAAGTGTGCTTGTTTGTTGCTTAAAGCCGCACACCACTATGTTCAAGCTATATGGCGTCGGTCAGTAAATAATTGAGTGTGGACGAGACAATCCAGTGATCAACACAATGTGCATCAATATACACAGATTGGCATATACAAAGGGACATTAAACACAATGTAGGTTCCGCCTCCTCTCAATGGAGTTTGTCTCACTGCAGGCTGAACCCTGTCTCTAGAATGTCTGTCACTGCAAGCTGAACCTCTGTCTCTGGAATGTCCATCACTGCAGATTGAACCTCTGTTTCTAGAATGTTTGTCACTGCAGACTGAACATCTGTCTGTAGAATGACTGTCACTGCAGGCTGAACCTCTGTCTCTGGAATGTCTGTCACTGCAAACTGAACCTCTGTCTCTGGAATGTCTGTCACTGCAGACTGAACCTCTGTTTCTAGAATGTTTGTCACTGCAGACTGACTGAACCTCTGTCTCTGGAATGTCTGTCACTGCAGGCCGAACCTCTGTCTCTGGAATGTCTGTCACTGCAGACTGAACTTCTGTCTCTAGAATGTCTCTCACTGCAGACTGAACATCTGTCTCTAGGATGTCTGTCACTGCAGACTGAACTTCTGTCTCTATAATGTCTGTCACCGCAGACTGAACATCTGTCTCTAGCATGTCTGTCACTGCAGACTGAACTTCTGTCTCTAGAATGTCTGTCACTGCAGGCTGAGACAACATCTGTCTCTGGAACGTCTGTCACTGCAGACTGAACCTCTGTCTCTAGAATGTCTGTCACTGCAGACTGAACTTCTGTCTCTAGAATGTCTCTCACTGCACACTGAACATTTGTCTCTAGGATGTCTGTCACTGCAGACTGAACTTCTGTCTCTATAATGTCTGTCACTGCAGACTGAACATCTGTCTCTAGCATGTCTGTCACTGCAGACTGAACTTCTGTCTCTAGAATGTCTGTCACTGCAGGCTGAACATCTGTCTCTGGAACGTCTGTCACTGCAGACTGGACCTCTGTCTCTAGAATGTCTGTCACTGCAGACTGAACCTTGGTCTCTGGAATGTCTGTCCGCAGACTGAACATCTGTCTCTAGCATGTCTGTCACTGCAGACTGAACTTCTGTCTCTAGAATGTCTGTCACTGCAGGCTGAACATCTGTCTCTGGAACGTCTGTCACTGCAGACTGGACCTCTGTCTCTAGAATGTCTGTCACTGCAGACTGAACCTCGGTCTCTGGAATGTCTGTCACCCGCAGACTGAGACATCTGTCTCTAGGATGTCTGTCACTGCAGGCTGAACCTCTGTCTCTAGAATGTCTGTCACTGCAGACTGAACCTCAGTCTCTGGAATGTCTGTCACCCGCAAGCTGAACCTCGGTCTCTGGAATGTCTGTCACTGCAGCATCAACCTCTGTCTGTGGAATGATTGTAACTGTTACTGCAAGCGGTACCTCTGTATCTGGAATGTCTGGCTCTGTAACCGCAGGCTGAACCATTTTCTCTGGAATGTCTGTCACTGTCACCGCAGGCTGAACCTTTTCGCTGGAATGTCTGTCACTGCAGGCTGAACTTCTGTCTCTAGATTGTGTGTGTCACTGCAGACTGAACTTCTGTCTCTCTGGAATGTCTGTCACTGCAGACTGAACTTCTGTCTCTAGAATGCCTGTCACTGCAGACTGAACATCTGTCTCTAGCATGTCTGTCACTGCAGACTGAACATCTGTCTCTAGAATGTCTGTCACTGCAGACTGAACATCTGTCTCTAGGATGTCTGTCACTGCAGACTGAACTTCTGTCTCTAGAATGTCTGTCACTGCAGACTGAACATCTGTCTCTGGAACGTCTGTCACTGCAGACTGAACCTCTGTCTGTGGAATGTCTGTCACAGCAGCCTGAACCTCTGTCTCTGGAATGTCTGTCACTGCAGCCTGAACCTTTGTCTCTAGAATGTCTCTCACTGCAGACTGAACCTCTGTCTCTAGGATGTCTGTCACCGCAGACTGAACCTCAGTCTCTGGAATGTCTGTCACCATAAGCTGAACATCTGTCTCTAGCATGTCTGTCACTGTGGACTGAACTTCTGTCTCTAGAATGTCTGTCACTGCAGACTGAACATCTGTCTCTAGCATGTCTGTCACTGCAGACTGAACTTCTGTCTCTAGATTGTCTGTCACTGCAGACTGAACATCTGTCTCTAGAATGTCTGTCACTGCAGACTGAACTTCTGTCTCTAGAATGTCTGTCACTGCAGACTGAACATCTGTCTCTGGAACGTCTGTCACTGCAGACCGAACCTCTGTCTGTGGAATGTCTGTCACTGCAAACTGAACCTCTGTCTCTGGAATGTCTGTCACCTGCAGACTGAACCTCTGTTTCTTGAATGTTTGTCACTGCAGACTGAACCTCTGTCTCTAGAATGTCTGTCACTGCAGGCCGAACCTCTGTCTCTGGAATGTCTGTCACTGCAGACTGAACCTCTGTCTCTGGAATGTCTGTCACTGCAGACTGAACCTCTGTTTCTAGAATGTTTGTCACTGCAGACTGAACCTCTGTCTCTAGAATGTCTGTCACTGCAGGCTGAACATCTGTCTCTGGAATGTCTGTCACTGCAGACTGAACCTCTGTCTCTAGAATGTTTGTCACTGCAGACTGAACCTTGGTCTCTGGAATGTCTGTCACCGCAGACTGAACATCTGTCTCTAGCATGTCTGTCACTGCAGACTGAACTTCTGTCTCTAGAATGTCTGTCACACCGCAAGCTAGACATCTGTCTCTAGCATGTCTGTCACTGTAGACTGAACTTCTGTCTCTAGAATGTCTGTCACTGCAGACTGAACATCTGTCTCTAGCATGTCTGTCACTGCAGACTGAACTTCTGTCTCTAGATTGTCTGTCACTGCAGACTGAACATCTGTCTCTAGAATGTCTGTCACTGCAGACTGAACTTCTGTCTCTCTAGAATGTCTGTCACTGCAGACTGAACATCTGTCTCTGGAACGTCTGTCACTGCAGACCAGACCTCTGTCTGTGGAATGTCTGTCACTGCAAAGCTGAACCTCTGTCTCTGGAATGTCTGTCACTGCAGACTGAACCTCTGTTTCTTGAATGTTTGTCACTGCAGACTGAACCTCTGTCTCTAGAATGTCTGTCACTGCAGGGGCTGAACCTCTGTCTCTGGAATGTCTGTCACTGCAGACTGAACCTCTGTCTCTGGAATGTCTGTCACTGCAGACTGAACCTCTGTCTCTAGAATGTTTGTCACTGCAGACTGAACCTTGGTCTCTGGAATGTCTGTCACCGCAGACTGAACATCTGTCTCTAGCATGTCTGTCACTGCAGACTGAACTTCTGTCTCTAGAATGTCTGTCACTGCAGGCTGAACATCTGTCTCTGGAACGTCTGTCACTGCAGACTGGACCTCTGTCTCTAGAATGTCTGTCACTGCAGACTGAGACCTCAGTCTCTGGAACGTCTGTCACTGCAGACTGAACCTCTGTCTGTGGAATGTCTGTCACCCACCCAGCCTGAACCTCTGTCTCTGGAAATGTCTGTCACTGCAGCCTGAACCTTTGTCTCTAGAATGTCTCTCACTGCAGACTGAACCTCTGTCTCTAGGATGTCTGTCACCGCAGACTGAACCTCAGTCTCTGGAATGTCTGTCACTGCAAGCTGAACATCTGTCTCTAGCATGTCTGTCACTGTAGACTGAACTTCTGTCTCTAGAATGTCTGTCACTGCAGACTGAACATCTGTCTCTAGCATGTCTGTCACTGCAGACTGAACTTCTGTCTCTAGATTGTCTGTCACTGCAGACTGAACATCTGTCTCTAGAATGTCTGTCACTGCAGACTGAACTTCTGTCTCTAGAATGTCTGTCTGCAGACTGAACATCTGTCTCTGGAACGTCTGTCACTGCAGACCGAACCTCTGTCTGTGGAATGTCTGTCACTGCAGAGCTGAACCTCTGTCTCTGGAATGTCTGTCACTGCAGACTGAACCTCCTGTTTCTTGAATGTTTGTCACTGCAGACTGAACCTCTGTCTCTAGAATGTCTGTCACTGCAGGCCGAACCTCTGTCTCTGGAATGTCTGTCACTGCAGACTGAACCTCTGTCTCTGGAATGTCTGTCACTGCAGACTGAACCTCTGTTTCTAGAATGTTTGTCACTGCAGACTGAACCTCTGTCTCTAGAATGTCTGTCACTGCAGGCTGAACATCTGTTTGTGGAATATCTGTCACTGTAGACTGAACTTCTGTCTCTAGAATGTCTCTCACTGCAGACCCCAGACATCTGTCTCTAGGATGTCTGTCACTGCAGACTGAACTTCTGTCTCTATAATGTCTGTCACTGGACTGAACATCTGTCTCTAGCATGTCTGTCACCTGCAGACTGAACTTCTGTCTCTAGAATGTCTGTCACTGCAGGCTGAACATCTGTCTCTGGAACGTCTGTCACTGCAGGCTGAACCTCTGTCTCTAGAATGTCTGTCACTGCAGACTGAACTTCTATCTCTAGAATGTCTCTCACTGCACACTGAACATTTTTTTGTCTCTAGGATGTCTGTCACTGCAGACTGAACTTCTGTCTCTATAAATGTCTGTCACTGCAGACTGAACATCTGTCTCTCTGGCATGTCTGTCACTGCAGACTGAACTTCTGTCTCTAGAATGTCTGTCACTGCAGGCTGAACATCTGTCTCTGGAACGTCTGTCACTGCAGACTGGACCTCTGTCTCTAGAATGTCTGTCACTGCAGACTGAACCTTAGTCTCTGGAATGTCTGTCACCGCAGACTGAACATCTGTCTCTAGCATGTCTGTCACTGCAGACTGAACTTCTGTCTCTAGAATGTCTGTCACTGCAGGCTGAACCTCTGTCTCTGGAACGTCTGTCACTGCAGACTGGACCTCTGTCTCTAGAATGTCTGTCACTGCAGACTGAACCTCAGTCTCTGGAATGTCTGTCACCTGGAGACTGAACATCTGTCTCTAGGATGTCTGTCACTGCAGGCTGAACCTCTGTCTCTAGAATGTCTGTCACTGCAGACTGAACCTCAGTCTCTGGAATGTCTGTCACCATAAGCTGAACCTCAGTCTCTGAAATGTCTGTCACTGCAGCATCAACCTCTGTCTGTGGAATGATTGTAACTGTTACATTGCAAGCGGTACCTCTGTATCTGGAATGTCTGAAACCTGTAAACTGCAGGCTGAACCATTTTCTCTGGAATGTCTGTCACTGTCACCGCAGGCTGAACCTTTTTCGCTGGAATGTCTGTCTGCAGGCTGAACTTCTGTCTCTAGATTGTGTGTCACTGCAGACTGAACTTCTGTCTCTCTGGAATGTCTGTCACTGCAGACTGAACTTCTGTCTCTAGAATGCCTGTCTGCAGACTGAACATCTGTCTCTAGGATGTCTGTCACTGCAGACTGAACTTCTGCCTCTAGAATGTCTGTCACTGCAGACTGAACATCTGTCTCTAGGATGTCTGTCACTGCAGACTGAACTTCTGTCTCTAGAATGTCTGTCACTGCAGACTGAACATCTGTCTCTGGAACGTCTGTCACTGCAGACTGAACCTCTGTCTGTGGAATGTCTGTCACTGCAGCCCTGAACCTCTGTCTCTGGAATGTCTGTCACTGCAGCCTGAACCTTTGTCTCTAGAATGTCTCTCTCACTGCAGACTGAACCTCTGTCTCTAGGATGTCTGTCACCTGCAGACTGAACCTCGGTCTCTGGAATGTCTGTCACCGCAAGCTGAACATCTGTCTCTAGCATGTCTGTCACTGTAGACTGAACTTCTGTCTCTAGAATGTCTGTCACTGCAGACTGAACATCTGTCTCTAGCATGTCTGTCACTGCAGACTGAACTTCTGTCTCTAGATTGTCTGTCACTGCAGACTGAACATCTGTCTCTAGAATGTCTGTCACTGCAGACTGAACTTCTGTCTCTAGAATGTCTGTCACTGCAGACTGAACATCTGTCTCTGGAACGTCTGTCACTGCAGACCAGAACCTCTGTCTGTGGAATGTCTGTCACTGCAGCCTGAACCTCTGTCTCTGGAATGTCTGTCACTGCAGCCTGAACCTTTGTCTCTAGAATGTCTCTCACTGCAGACTGAACCTCTGTCACTAAGATGTCTGTCACCGCAGACTGAACCTCAGTCTCTGGAATGTCTGTCACCGCAAGCTGAACCTCTGTCTCTGGAATGTCTGTCATTGAAGATCGAGTTTCCCTCTCTCTGGAATGTCTGTCATTGAAGGTCAGGTTTCCCTCTCTCTGGAATGTCTGTCACTGAAGATCGAGTTTCCCTCTCTCTGGAATGTCTTTCATTGAAGGTCGAGTTCCCTCTCTCTGGAATGTCTGTCATTGAAGGTCGAGTTCCCTCTCTCTGGAATGTCTGTCACTGAAGATCGAGTTTCCTCTCTGGAATGTCTTTCATTGAAGGTCGAGTTTCCCTCTCTGGAATGTCTGTCATTGAAGGTCAAGGTTTCCCTCTCTCTGGAATGTCTGTCACTGAAGGTCGAGTTTCCCTCTCTGGAATGTCTGTCATTGAAGGTCAGAGTTTCCCCTCTCTCTGGAATGTCTGTCACTGAGATCGAGTTTCCCTCTCTCTGGAATGTCTTTCATTGAAGGTCAGAGTTTCCCTCTCTCTGGAATGTCTGTCATTGAAGGTCGAGGAGTTTCCCTCTCTCTGGAATGTCTGTGTCACTGAAGGTCGAGGTTCCCCTCTCTCAGGGGTCCTTCACAGCAGGCTGAACCTCTCGTTGGTGTCCCTATCTGCAGTGAGCTTCTCTAGAATATGTTCTTGTTTCCATGTTTGAAGTTTAACGTCTCTCTCAACAATATTCCAGGTTTATGACAAAGTGGCATCATCAGCATCCGCCTATGCAAAGCTTACCTAAAATAAGGTAAAACCTAATGATTAACCAAATCAGCCGTTGCTGAGAAGACAGATTGTAACCTGGGTCTTCAGAGGTGATATTCTAATGACTATGCAGAACAGAATTATATCACTTGTGTATGTGTGAGGTGAGGGTGAAATTGGGTTTAACGTCG